GAATAGAATAGAATAGAATAGAATAGAATAGAATAGAATAGAATAGAATAGAATAGAATAGAATAGAATAGAATAGAATAGAATAGAATAGAATAGAATAGAATAGAATAGAATAGAATAGAATAGAATAGAATAGAATAGAATAGAATAGAATAGAATAGAATAGANCTTTGTAAAGATGGAGGCGAAAAAGGCAAAATCATTCTGTACCAAAAACTTAACCCTCCTAAAATATGTCTCTCTCAATTAATACTTATTATTATATTTTATTTGAAAAAATAAAAAAATATGACTTTTCAGTATACCTTTGAGAATGCGTTATTGATTGATTATTTGTTTGATATACTATTACAATAACTTGAATCAATACAGACTGTGATTAAAAATATTTTCAAAAATATTTTATTCATGTTCTCTTATACAACTAACTATGTCTGGAGATGATAAACTAGAAGTCTTTGTTGAAAGCACAACAGAAATGTTGATTATTTTCACAGAGTTGATAATAGAAATCAGCGAAAACAAAATTGAAATCGGATAAGCTTTTATAATTTTTTCAGAGTGACATTGTGACAAAAGTCTGTTGAAAACTTCTGTTTTTTCGAAGGAAAATGACCGATTGATAGTTAAAACTACTTTGAAACGAAAGAAGGAATGATTGAGTGGATACCTTCAATGAATTTGTTAGAGAAAGAAAACTTAACTAATGTTCAATTCTAAATTTGGCGATAGTTCCAGAACGATTTCTGATACCTATGGAAGTAGGAACCAAACTTCCATGAGTGTACCAAACAACCTAGGACAAGCCCGTATTGCCCAGAGGGCCATAAATTATTTGACCGTCATCATCAGAGGCGCCGGCTTTTGGAAATTTATACGGGTATAAGTCACAGGAGTGTAACGTGTATTTTGAGCTCAACTTTATCAGATGATAACTGGTCTTCAAAATGTATTCCTTGAATTGACTTCCCAATGCTATAGTATTAGCGACAAGTTTATGTGTGTTATAACTATGATTGTAGACATAATTGTTTGTAACATTTCCACGTCAACTACGATATATCTTCACCTTTGATTGTGATAAAGCTTTTGTTGCATCCCAATGTCTGGCCCATATAGTGCACATGAGAAATCAAACACTAAATTGCGGATATAGCCACACCTAAAATATTCTAAACGATCTCACTTTCTTATGAGCCTACATTTCATAATAACGAATTGATAATTTGGATACTTGAAGGTTACCTAACAATTTCCATATACATGTATCTGAAGAAGTTACTCTTTTTATTTGTCAATCTAAATGTCCAGCGGAAAGTCATTGGTTCTATAATAATAAGGATCTTAAGAACCAAAATTGAAAAAGGTTTTTTTGTCTAGTGAAAGTCAATATATTTTATGAAGTTCGTAGCATATCATATTATCAAACTATACAGGGTGAAAATATAAAAACATGATCCTATTCTACTTCGATCTACCTTTGCTAGTTATTTTCTAGGCTAGCTCCCAATTTTTCAAAAACATATTGGCTGGCACCAAAAAATACTGATTTGGAGTAATCACCTCTAAGCTATTAGGATTAGGAGGTACATTCTTTTGAAACTGAAAAATTAGTTTTTTGTCAGTTTTTCTGTTTTATCCATTCCAACTTATTATGATTCTATCAATTTGTTTAATAACTTTTTTGGCAAAACAAGTATTAACAGATATTCATTCTCTACAAAAATTGACTATGGATAGTATTAGGTTGTTTCAAAAGTTTTGTCCGTTTTTATGAGTTTACTTTAAACTGTAATATCTCAGTAAATACTCATTAAATTTAATCGAAATGATCGCCATTTGAATCAGTGCACGTTTGCCAACGTAACACAAGTCGATTATTTGAACCAGAATAAAAATTGAGTGCTCAGGATTCGATGAAGTCGATGAATGCCACTTTTGCCTGGTCCTGATTGGTGAAGGTTTTTATCGGTGAGATAATTGTCGAAGTGTTTGAAAAGATGTTAGTTGGTTGGCGAGGGAAGTATGGTGGTTGAGGCACGATGACGATTTACAAACCGAGATGAATGTATTCTAAAAACTCTTTATTGTGAGATATTCACTAGACAGTTTTACAAAAACGCAACACGTGTTTCGCCGTACAATGGCTTCCACTGGCGTGTCTTACTAACTAATTCTACACATTCGATGCTATAAGTATACCTTATTCTACAACTCGAAGTACCTAAATTTCAAGTACCTGATTTTTTACCTAAGTTTGTAATGAATTAAATTACCTGCTTATGTCCCATTTTACACATTTGAAAAAATATTCAGTAACGGAGAGTTATTCAATTCTTATTGATCATTCAATAAATTACCCGAATTCCTGAATCTATTGATTCCTATACATTCTAGATAATTGAGTTTCAAACTCTTCTCTTCCAAATGTAACACACCGTATTCATGATTGTACTCATGTCCTTCAGCTGAAAGGTGGTTTGAAAATGTGGAATTGGTCTTTCTATTTACAAAACTATTTCTATGGTCTTTAATTCTTTTGGAAAATGTTCTTCCCGTTTGGCCAATATATAGTTTTGGACAAGAGCCATAAGTCAGCTTATATACTACTGATCTATCCGACACTGAAGTTTTGTCAGTGTCGGATACCGGGTAATGGGTAATGGATTTGATTATACTCTGGGACAGGTGAAATCCAATATAAATTTGTGAGTGATATCCCAAAAGTTACCCGAAGAAAACTATACTCTTCTTCAGTACTTGTGATGCACTGTTTGGAACCTTTGGTGTAGTAATGAATATTACTGGAGTTTAGTTCCAACACCAAACCGTTACACCTCGACACGTGTTTCAATCACCAAGTGATCATCTTCGAAAGGAACCGTTATTTTAAATACTTCGACACGTGTTTCAATCATCAAGTGATCATCTTCAAGAAGAAGATTAAACTGTTTAATATTCATCTAAAAGATGATCATTTGGTGATCGAAACACATGTCAAGGTGTTAAAAATAATGTTTTGGTGTTGGAAAAAAACTCCAATAATATTCTCTTCTTCAGTGTTTGATCAAATCCATTGAATGAGGTATTTTTGAACTAAAATTTACTACTAGGTCTTTTCGAAGGAAACAATATGTTTTGTACCAACCTCTAACAATCATCTCCAGCTAACAAGCACAAACAAACAAATGGCAAAGGGTTAGTATAAGATATTACATAAACTTTTTCGGATATGAAGGTATCTCTGAAAAATAAACAGTAAATTTTTCACATATCCCGAACTAAAATCAAATATTGAAAAGTTATCAGGTCTCAATATTCGACGACTGAAAACAGTTGAGCTACCAAAGTTCATTCAAACTTAGCTGATTGTTCCAATGGTAGGTATATGAGTAGTTTTTTCTGGAAGGTGTTATGGGTATATTTGAGTCAAAGCACAGAAACTACAAGAAATGAGAATTAGGATAGTATCAAAAAATAGGAAAATTTGGATACAAATTGTGAAAAAAAAATGCAAAACAATGCATCAGAACTGGGTTGTTGAAACATTGAATGTAAATGATGTACAACCCCTTCGACAACAATATCTGAAATCAACATATTTATAGACGTCTGAGGGTTGTTAACAGAGAGGCAGCTGATTAGAAGTATTTTTTTTTAATTCCCAGTATGAATATTTGAAGAAAACTCGGAAAGAAATTCTCAACTGTAGCTGACAAAAAAATACAAGAAAATACATTCCTGTTGTAGGTACACGAATGGATTACAAATCAAAAAAATTCAGCTGAATAATAGTGATATTAATACACACTGAAATTGCGGCTTCATTCTATTAAAATTGAGGTACAGTAGTGTAGAAAGTGAATAGCTGATTTCCAACAAAGTTGATACGAAATTTTTGAAGTTTTGATCAGAAGTGTTTTGGATCCATCATCCTCTTGTAGATCTCCCGACGCCAATGATCTGCTTCACAACGTTTATTGCACGAAAACCTGCCATTTACAGGCCTGCACTGAACGAGGGTTAACCTTTTCCTTTCATCACCCCCGCACTTCCCCTTTCTGGCTCCAACTTCAAAAGGGTCTGACCATTACCTTGAAATAGAGATAATTCTTTGTGCCCATTCTATATTTTGGCAAGTTTATAAAGTGGTACCATGCTGCTCTGATCACCAGTGTGAATAATTGCCTCTAGAGGATTTTAAGAAATAAGTCTTAACTTGAAATTTTGTATTTCTTTGTGTTGAAATATACAGCAAGGAAATAATCCTTGGACTAAGCAGCATGTTGAAGGATTTCAGTATATCAGAACTCGTGAAAGTTGTACTTATTTTCTTCTTTAAAGAAATGATAAATTCATGTTTTGTTGCAATAAATACCGCATGTAACTATAGAGATCACAGTTAATAAAATAAATTGTAACATACGTACTTACTTCGAAGATATAGAGAAAAATGTAATTCTGAACAATTTATTTCAAACTTTTTCATTCACCCGAATAAATTTGATGACTAAGTTATTTCATGGCTATTGTTTAAATTTGAAGGGTACATATGGTTAAACAATAGTAACCACACTATTTCAGTGAAGATATGTTATTTGCATCATCTAAAACATCCAGAATATGCTGTCAATGAAAATTCAGAACAATTACAACAACTCGACTTGAAGGTGAGTGAAATTCAATATCCATTTTTATTTTTGCTGAATCATTTATCGAAATGAAGGATACGATATGAGTTTATTGTTGATGACAATGCTAGTTACGGATTTTTTTTTAAATATGGACTAGTACATCAATTGTTAGTGCAGATTTTCGCTAGCAAAAGGAAGGTGTTTATATCAATGAAGATCCGACAAAAAAATTGCAACCTGGGGTGACTGAGACTGTAACCAAGTAAAATTTAATGTAAGAAAACTCAAGCAACAAAGTTAAATGTGGCATAACAAAACATGCTAATAACAGATATTAATGTCACATGACATTTACTCTGAGAGAATAACATAGACAGATTTCAGTAGAGATTGGTTTTTGGGAAAAGAAACCTTTCTATGTTTCTACTTCTCCGTCAATATAACTAACCTCCAGAATATTTCAGCGATCTGTCATCATGACCAGAGCATAATTATCTCTTCGAGTGATATAAAATCGTGATTTCGTGAAAGAAATGAGTGTTTCGTCTTGTCTTGTAAATTCATTCATAATGGTGCTGATGATGGGACGAAAACAAATGTATTTGCCCGAAACTTCAAGTTCATCAAGAACTGGATTGATGTCCATGTAAGTGAAATTTTCATATTACTCGTATTACTTACTCTTCATACGTGTGTGTGTGTGTTTCTATAAGTATCTGTTTGAATTATATTACAGAGGCCTGGAGTAGTAGTTCCGGATGGTTTTTTTCTTACTTTGTATCTGAAAGAAACTTCTGTGCCAGATCTATACATAATTGTAATGAACCTAAATCAAAGTGATTTCTTTTTTTCTTTCGAAGCTACCATTTTTTCCTTCATAACGATGGAAAAAAAGAAAGCCAAAAAGCGTATTCCCAAAAAACATGGACAGCTTTTTAGAAACCTGGGATACTTTTCATATATGGGAAGTTACTTGCGACGAATAATCGAAATGTCTTCTTAGTTCTTCACATTTTGTCTTCAATCGAGGACCGCCTTCCCGGTGCTAAGGATGCCCAACAGGCTGAAACAGCTGTCTACCGGTTGCTCTTGAATTGTTTTCGGAGTACTAACTCCTCGTCAGTACCGGGCAGGTCATTTCAGACATTTCAGTCTGAGTATCCCAAACAAACAAAATTAATCACATGACGGCATATTCTCTCTGAGGATTATTTTTCAAAACGTTTCGGCAAAGTTTCATTTGCCATCTTCAGGTGGTGTCTGGAGTTAAGAACTAGACTGATTCATTCGAACTCTGTGTCTTAATTTTTAGGGGTGGATGCTGTGCCGTCCCGCCTGCCTTAATCATTATATTATGTGCTAAGTTATGCAGTTTTTTTGAGTCAATAAAACGGATCTTCATGTTACTGGCAATCTTTGCGCGTCACCCCTCGAAATTGATTTGTGTCTTGTCGCAAATATGTGTTGGTAGAGAGAAGACGTGGTGACTTTTCCTTTCACAGATAATTTGTGTTCGTCTTTGCGTATGTAGATTCGCCTGTTGGTCTGTCCGATGTGAGTTTTGTCACAGTCTCGACATGGTATTTCGTGAACTCCTTATAACTCCAGTGGTATCTGATTCTTTGGATTACGGAGCTGATTGTACGTTCTGATACGGACTTTCTGGTACGGACCTTATTGTACGTTCTGGTATGAATGATGTTGCCTATGTTGTTTTGGCCGAGAATTCGGCTGATTTTGTCTGAGGTTCCTTCAATATATGGTAGTATGATTGGTGTAATTCGAGTTTTCCACTGGAAGCCGCTTTTTTCTGAATGGCTTTGTTTTGGGTAATGTTCAAGTATTTATCACTGCGAGCTGGTTACCTACTTGCACTTCTGTGGCACAAGTATGTCTAAAATGCTAGAAAAGGTTCATGCAGTGACAGAAAAAATCTACCAAACTTCACACAAAAATTACAAAAAGTCTATTCAACTGACAAAACGAGAATCGTATAAAAGTTTTTTGGCGTGTTCCCCAAATATCAGTAGAGATACTTGGAAGATTAACAATTATGAATGTAGCAGGAGTCCTTCGAGGAAGGTTGATACACCGCATTCGAGTTATCAGGTCTCAATATTCGACGACTGAAAACAGTTGAGCTACCAAAGTTCATTAAAACTTTATTAGCTGATTGTTCCAATGGTAGGTATATGAGTAGTTTTTTCTGGAAGGTGTTATGGGTATATTTGAGTCATAGCACAGAAACTACAAGAAATGAGAATTAGGATAGTATCAAAAAATAGGAAAATTTGGATACAAATTGTGAAAAAAAAATGCAAAACAATGCATCAGAACTGGGTTGTTGAAACATTGAATGTAAATGATGTACAACCCCTTCGACAACAATATCTGAAATCAACATATTTATAGACGTCTGAGGGTTGTTAACAGAGAGGCAGCTGATTAGAAGTATTTTTTTTTAATTCCCAGTATGAATATTTGAAGAAAACTCGGAAAGAAATTCTCAACTGTAGCTGACAAAAAAATACAAGAAAATACATTCCTGTTGTAGGTACACGAATGGATTACAAATCAAAAAAATTCAGCTGAATAATAGTGATATTAATACACACTGAAATTGCGGCTTCATTCTATTAAAATTGAGGTACAGTAGTGTAGAAAGTGAATAGCTGATTTCCAACAAAGTTGATACGAAATTTTTGAAGTTTTGATCAGAAGTGTTTTGGATCCATCATCCTCTTGTAGATCTCCCGACGCCAATGATCTGCTTCACAACGTTTATTGCACGAAAACCTGCCATTTACAGGCCTGCACTGAACGAGGGTTAACCTTTTCCTTTCATCACCCCCGCACTTCTCCTTTCTGGCTCCAACTTCAAAAGGGTCTGACCATTACCTTGAAATAGAGATAATTCTTTGTGCCCATTCTATATTTTGGCAAGTTTATAAAGTGGTACCATGCTGCTCTGATCACCAGTGTGAATAATTGCCTCTAGAGACTAATCACAGTCGAATTTATGTTTATATTCTTTTTTATGTTTGGACAAGCCTGTAATGCCAGTTTTTGAACCTGAAGATGACATAAAGCAAAAATTATGGTAAAGAAGAGTTTTATCCGAACACCAAACCGTCATTTTAACATTTCAACACGTGTTTTGATCATCAAGTGATCATCTTCAAGAGGAAGACTAAACATCTCCAAGAGAAAGATTTAATCTTCCTCTTGAATATGATCATTTCTGTTTGAACGACAACTCTCAGAAGTTGAGGAACTTGTGCGAGCTAAGGACTGACGAGGTCTTACCTTTTAACGTGTGATTCCTAACACGGTTGCAGAATCACTCCAGCTTTAACCACATAAATTCTCTCGAAAAAAATATCTGGTCGAGGCGGGAATCAAACTAACGGTCTTCTGATCGTGAGTCGGGCGCACTATCACCGCGGCCAATTCCTCAACGATGGAAGCACGTGTCGAGGTGTAAAAAATTACTGTTAGGTGTTGTGATTAAACTCCAGTAATATTCATTACTACACCAAAGGTTCCAAACAGTATATCACAAAAATTATGGTGTGTTCACATCAGATAAATCCGATGAATCTTCGTCGAATGTTATTAAACAATTTCCTCAACTGAACACTTATCTCATGCATTACTTGGGCAGCTTGTTGAGCATTCGAGCGACACGTTTCTTGTTTCGCACTCCCGACTATTTTTGACAGAATATCGTATACGGGGGGTAGGCAATTCAGTCTCAAATGGACGCAAGTGCAGCGATATAGTGATGTGAATATTAGATCGAATACAAAAAAATTGCTATCAGAAAATACCAAGGTGATAAAAATTAAAATAACAATGACAATAAGCGATGAACTGGCGTAGGGGTAGTGCACCCGATCCCAACCTCGCCCAGTAATTTTTCTCGAGAGAATTTATTTAGTTGAAGCTGGGATGATTCTGCAACGTTACATGGCTGACGGACTGTGAATAGTCATGTTGCTCCGTAGGTGGCTCGGAAAGTTATTAACATTGTGCCTACCCAGGACACGAAGCTAATGACCATTGTAGTCGATGCCGATGAAACCCAAAAAATTAATGACAATAAATTGAAATGAAATCCGAAATAGAGGTAAAGATGGAACACAAGATCTCTTTAAGAGTAATTTGACATTTTTTTAATGCCGTGATTCTTCTTTAATTTGTAATGTTAATGTAATCATTTTTATGACTTGAGTTTTATCAATTGTTTAAATTGAAAGCTTTAATAAATCTATCTATCTATCTATCAAAAGTATTGCCATTATGATTGCGTACCCATTGTGCCTGTTAATAAATGAACGTTTTGCTCATGGGTTTTTCCTACAATATTAAAAAAATCTGTAGTCTTACCTGTTTTGAAAAAAAGTAAAACCCCACATTCAATGACTTTCGACCTATTTCGATAATACCTATACTTGGGAAAGTTATCGAGGTAATTGTCAAAAACAGATTGCGTATACCAGTGTAGTGGTAACTCTTGGGGAGGGCAGACATTCATTCACAATAAATTGATGGATGTAGCCGTTACTACGTAGTAGGAAATCATAATGAAGAAATAATAATTGAAACTTTCTATCTTTAATTTATAAGTTGGAAAATGTCCTTATAGGACGAAACTGCAGTAACGTTAGTTACAAATGAAAGTGATAAAAACATAGAAAGTTTCAATTCTCTTTTCTTCCTTCATTCATAACGCTGTGCGATTTATCGAAGGCATTTGATTGTGTTTCGCACAATATTCTGCTTGAGAAACTTTCCTATTATGATATCCTTGAACTGTCTCTTAGATTTTTTGAATCCTATTGGCACGATAAATCATAGTGTGTATCATTACTTGGGATTAAATCGAATGTGAAATCTGTCAAACATGGTGTACCCCAAGGTTCTGTACTGAGGCCAATTTTGTTCATACTATATATAAATGACCTATATTTCCATATACTCCCCAAAGAATGTTTTCTATTTGCGGACGATACCACTTTGGTGGAGTGTCACAGTAACGTTTCTGGTTTGTTTTAAATAGGCTTCTCCTCAACAAGGGTCAAAATCAAAATCTTATAATTTCCACAAATACAAATTTAACCTCACGTAAATGTGTTGAGCTACTTGGGATCCATATAGACGACAGAATGAACTGGTCTTGTCATGTTGACAAACTGGCCAAGAAATTGTCAAGTGTAATATTTATGATTCGCAGACTAATGGAATTCGCCGGTATCAGAGTGATCAAATCTTCTTACTTCGGACTCTTCCATAGTCACATGGTATACGTCATGTGTTGTGGGGGGATTCTCGTCATTCCAAAAAAAATTTTTGTATTGTAAAAATGAGTTATACGTCAGATATCTAATGCCAACTTCAGAGATCATTGTCGCCCACTTTTCAATCATCTTAAAAATATGACGCTTCCTTTAGCCTTTATATATGAAACATTGATTAAAATTCACAAGAATAGATCTAACTACATTTTACAATCGCAACAACGTGAATACCCAACGAGATCACAAAATCTGATATGAACTGGGAGATTTAGACTAAGCACCTCACAGAAAAATTCATTGAATTTGAAATTTTATAATAAATTACCATGCCACATAAAACAACTCA